CAATCTTTTTAAGCACCTGTGGGAAAACAGGGTAATTGCTAGTAGCTGGCATAGATTTATGAAAATGACAACAGGTATAACCAATCTAGCAGACTTTTGGCAGGGAATTCTTCAAGTATATCTGGCCAATATCATAGATATCATACACCTTAACTGTAAAAATCATTTTACAGTTCCATGGATCATGGAACAGCAAGAAGAACAAAATAAAAATTGGAAGAATTTCATTTATTTTCTGTCTAAATGAGCCACTCATCTCATAAAGCAAATGACTCTATGCAACATACAAGACTAAAACAATACATATATAAATCAATTATCATTAACAATTATTTTTTTAAAAATAGAAAAAAAAATTGGAACAAAGAAATACATAGAAGAAGGAATGATAATAATATGAAGCCACTTCATAAATTCACCTGTTCCCTGGGGAATAACCACATCTTGAGGGATCTTCAGAAGCTTAGAAGCAATGAGGCCATTCTCACATCAGATGGAAGAAGATTCTACAATGCAGGTGTCATAGCAAAAATGGACTGCCACCTAACGCCCACCAGATGGAGCTTCCTAGACAACAAAATCCATAAAATGACCACTCTGTTGGATCATGTGGAACAGGCAGATGAAATTAGATAGACGCCGTTCCTCAAATAACCTGGTTCCGTGCCATGTAGAGCTTTCAAGATTAAATCGGTGTTGGAAACAAATTGGTAACCAATGTAGTTCATGCAGCACTGATATAATATATACCGTATCTTCTTAATTATAATAAAGGCTTTGAAGGTTTTAACTGATTATAAACCCTTCTCAATACTCTATGATTAACCCATATCTTGAACAGTCTTAGGCTGACTTCTTGTTACTGCTCTTCTGTTTTCTGAGGTTAGAATTGCTGTTTGCACATGGGGAATAATCCTTAAAAACTCTTTTAAGAATTGAAATAATCTCAATTATTGGTGGAGATTGGGTAGCTTTTATCTCAGTACCAGTATTTAAGAACTCTGTTTAACTTCCCTACTTGGCATCTTTTCTTAAGTTTGTCTGCAGTTTTGAGGTTATCTGTGCTTGATTAAAACTAAAAACTGAAATCGGCACATGAAGATTTACAAAGTACTGCACATTTATACTTGGGTGCCAAAGATTATAAATGTAACTGTAGATAAGTCAAATGAAATTAAATCAATTGGCTACATCGTTCTACATAGAAGAAACCCCTGAACCGCAGCACAACCCAAAGCCTCAGTTACTCCTGGAAGCCCCAGCTGCCCTAGCAATATGGCACAAAACCCGCAGCTGCCTCAGGAACCTTCAGCCACCCCAGCACAGTCCAGCCTCCATCTCCCCAGCTACTGACTAATCGTTCCCAGGTCTTGCAAAGGAGAAATTCTTGTGTAACCAGGAGCTGCCTTGGCCTGCTTGATCAGTAGCAGAAGCAAGAAGACTGCAAAGGTCAGTTAGGGAAGAATGCAGGGTGCCAAAAGGGCATAGATGTGGAGAAGATATGTGAGTGGGGGAAGTGAAGTGCTCCTGAAATGTGGGTGAGTTATCAAGCACCTGAATTTTGATCACATGACTTCAGGAGCACTGCAATGGCTGTAACTTCAAGAACTGGTCATAAGTTCCTTAGTTTAGCACCACCTTAACTTCAAACAGTCTCTGAACAAATAGTTGTAAGTCAAGGACTACCTATATCTCATCGGGAAGGATTTCAAGTGGATCTGGCCTATAGATTATCCCAATTTTATAGATTGGTTGGAAGGTACCACTGTTTCTGTATGTTTGCCAGAAAATAAATGATATAAAATACGCAAGGCAGAAGTGGTATTCAGCAGATTCTGACCAGTTCTGGAGAACCAGTAAATTTTGAGTAGTTCGGAGAACTGGTAAATACCAACTCTGATTGGCCCTGCCCCCATCTATTCTCTGCCTCCTGAGTCCCAGCTGATCGGGAGGAAATGGGATTTTGCAGTAACCTTCCCTTGGAGTGGGGAGGGAATGGAAATTTTACAGTATTCTTCCCCTGCCACGCCCACCAAGCCATCCATGCCATGCCATGCCACTCCCATCAAGCCACGCCCACAGAACCGGTAGTATAAAATTTTTGAATCTCACCACTGATGCAAGATAGATTGTGTTCTTTTTTGAACTGGTGTTCCCTATTTTCTTATAAACTTGCATTACCAAGACTTAGATGAATGAATCACCTAATTCAGTGCTGGTACAATTGGTTCAAGTTGACTATTTGATATGGCTTTCCCCTTCCAAATACTGCTTTTATTATTTTTTAAAAGAGTCTTCTGAATTTTATAAATGGATTATTACTAGGGAACTTTCCAAAGAGTAAAACATCACTCTTTGGAAAGGGGTACAATGTATAATATGATCCAATGATAATAATATGGTTAATAAATTTGAATGAGCACAGAAAAATATGTGGAAACTCCTGGAACTCTAATTTGATATCGGAAAAAAGCAAAGAAGGGATAGATCTTCTACAGCTCTACTATGATGGACATGCTGCAAAACAGCTGAATGATGGCACTTGGTAACAGCTGAATGAGAATTCCAATTCTACTACTGCTTTGCCTTCACTGCTCCTTCTGCTACCTCTTTTTGTTGATCCAACTCCATGTTTCCCCCAAAATACGACCTACCCCAAAAACAAGCCCTAGCTCGATTTTTATGCCTGCACCTAAAATAAGCCCCACCCCCAAAATAAGGCCTAGTTAAACCTCGTTCACCGTCTGGTTGTACGAGGTGGGGCAGGCATAAAAAACAACCTAGGGCAGGGGTGGGGGATGGAGCAAGGAAAGCAGATGCACTAGAGACCCTGGCTTGTTTCTCTCCCCCAAACTCCGCCAGAAATGGGTCTTCGTGAGGCTCGTCACGCCAGTGCAGCCACTTGTGGCAGGACACTGCAAGCCTTGTGTTGGTGCGTGTGAGCAGTGGCACTGCTGCAAGGCTCATTGCGCCAGTGCTACCATTTGCAGCAGGACACCACAAGGTTTGTTATGCTGCTTGCATGTGCAATGGCACAACAAACCTCGCAGCGTCCTGCCAAGAGCAGCGGCACTGCACGATGAGCCTTGCAGAGTCCTGCGAGGTTCATTGCACCAGTGCAGCTGCTTGTGGCAGGACGCCGCAAGGCTTGTTGTGCCGGGTCCACCACTTGCGCACGCAACAGCACAAACAAGGATGGGGGGAAATTAAGACATCCCCCAAAATAAGGCCTAGCGCTTATTTTGGAGGTTGAAAGAAAATAAGACCAGGTCTTCTTTTTGGGGAAACATGGTACCACTCCAATGTCCAACACTAGAACCAAGGCAATTCCCGCCATTCCATTCTGCAAGATATTTGGAGAAAATTCTTATCATCCGACCACTCGCTTGGAGACCTCAAAAATAAGACCAGCAGAAACTGTGTTGGTCTATCGAACGTTGGGAAACCCCTTCTTTTTTGTCCCAGGACTTGAAACTACCAAACTTTCCAAATCATTGCAACCACCTTTCACAATCCCCTCCTACATCCATTGCCATGAATGCCAAAAAAGAAAAATGAAATTTCTCTTAATAATCTGCCTGAATCGCTTCATTTTGGGTGTGGTTCTGGTCAGTGTTGATGGGGGAGGCAAGATATGAAATCTACTCTATCTATTCTTGTTTAAAATCTGCATAAAACTGCAGGAAGATACCCATTGATGGCACATAGCACAGTATCATCAATATGAATTAGAATTTAATAGTGATAGGTTGAATGACTGGCATGCCACAAAAGTAAATTATCTACTATCTAAATAACTATTAGCAAAGCTGAAACTATAAATGAGGCAGGATTAGTACTCTTAATATTTTTGTGCTGAATAAATTTATCAATATAATGTTATTGCTGATTCAAGAAAACAATTTTATATCACATTTGGAATGAATAAATGTATGTGTGGTTAGCAAGTCATGTTCAAATCTCCATTGGAACTGGAACATTGTGACTCACAGTATGAGTGCAACTCACTATGGCATGTTTCTTACGTTGTCACTCTCAGTATTCACAGTTACTGAGATTGTATTACATGACTAAACTAATTGAAAGAATTCCCCATGATTAGCTGTGCTTCCAGACTTATTTGTAATTCTATCCATCAGTGCACGTTGTGCAATTGCTCCATCTTTTCTTTCTTAAGGGATTCTTTATAGTGAAAAAAACACTGGTGGATTATAAACAGAAGACAATAACATCTGGATCTCGCTATAAAATTCCATGAACTACATGTTATGATTGCGTAATAAATGGCTTGTCTGGAATCTCTGCAGATTTCCCAACAATTTTTAAATGGAACACAATTGGGAGGGTCTGCCAGTTTAATCCGCGCAGCAGCATTGGGGAAAGAAATGGGAATCTTTTCTTCTGAAACTGTATCTTTTCCCTTCCAAAATTAGATGTTGTAGTTTTGTGATCAGCAAGAGAAAATGCTAGCCCACTTTCAGTTCTAGTTGTGAAATCAAATCATTCCATATATTTTAGATAGTCATGGCGTCATACACTTGTGTACACTTAAATATTGCACATATTGCTTTTGCCCACTTCATAATCTGATACACATTTCCCAGCCAACTGCTAGAGTTCTGTCTCTCTTGCCTTTCTCTAAAAATAGTGCCTGTTTTAAACTATATTTGGTGGAAATTTGAGGAGTTTCAATTCCAAAATATTCAAAAGAAGCCATGTTCAGAAAACTATTTTAAGAGGTTCAGATCTTTAAATACTATAGCACTAATTGAGTCAGGATTACTGTCTTAAATTTATTTACATTAGATTTTTCTTTCATTGAAAAAGTGCATTCAGAACTGAAGTAAGCATGAATATTTATTCCATACTGCATTTGGCTCGTTTATTTTGAAGCATGGCTCTCACAAAAGTGAAGTCATTTGGTTTATTTGACAGAAAAACTATCACATGTATGCCTTTCTCTTATGCCCATAAATTTACCAGCTTTCTGTATTTCACAGGTTCATGAAGGTGGCAGGGAACATAGTAGATGCAGTTACCTGGCAACAGTAGGTATTTTTTCCTCTCTTTTTCCTCTTTCAATGTTTATAAAAGGATGATCATAATAAGAAGGTTGGATGCAGGACAGAGGGGAACCTAACATTGACAGGGTCTTCTTCCGACAAGAGAGAACTCAGAAATGTATCCTCATTCTGCTCTTCAGAGTTCAGTCTTTTGCATGAAAAAAAGGAAGAGGTACTCTTCTAATTATGTAAAGCCAAAGAAATTCAGCAGGTGACTACGGATTACATATTCCTGTAGTTTAGCAGAACCTACTAAACCATAGGTGTAGATCAACCTTGGCATCTTTAAGACATGTGGACCAATTCCCAGAAATTCTGGGAGTTGAAGTCTACATATCTTAAAGTTGCCAAAGCTGAAAAACACTGGTGTAGATAATCTGCAGTCATTAAGCTGAATAATAACTTTAAACATTTTTTTTCTTTAGTATTGTTAGCTGGGACTGCTGAGCATTGTTATTCAGATATCACCTCTCTTTTAGTGTTTATTTTGACTATAGTGCAAAGAGACTTGACATGAAGTTTAAAACAGGTTATTCTAAAAAAGCCCTAGCAAGCCCTTGGAGTACTTCATATTCAGGTAGGATGGTATTCTGAAGAAAGTTCATATTGGAAGTCAACTTAGTTTCCTGAATAATTAATGGTTTATAGCAGAGTTCCAATCCCTGGTCCATGGACCAACACTGATCCGCAGCATGCCAGCAACTGGCACAAACAAGCGAAGCCCCATCCATGGGATGCAGGCAGCATGGAAAACTATGTCCATGGAAAAATCCTTCTCTACGGAACCAATCCATGGTGCCCAAAAGGTTGGGGGACACTGCTTTATAGGCCAGCAGGTGAGTCACATTTACTTGCTGTTGTAAGGAACAGCTTGCAGGGAACTGACTGAATGTAGAATCAGTGTTGAGCCAGTGGGCTTCAGAAAAAAGCAGATGGAAAGAAGCAATTTCTGCTCTTTGGATTGTTTATCTGAGCAATCAAGTTTCACTATCCAGTGATAACACATGGTATTTTTGGAAACTCTCATGTGCAGCATTTACTAAGACTGAAGGGATTATTGTTACTGAAGAAAGTTTGATTGAATTAGTACATAGTAGAAAGCCTGGCTATAGGAATTTTGCTGTAGCAGTCCTATTAGTTGGGGTAGCTCCCTTGAAAAATAGTTGAGATTAATGTTTGATGTTTCTTCTGCCTACCAAAATGGCTTTAGTGCCAGTTATAAATTGAATTCTGAAAACTAACAATGGTCATTGATTCTAGGGATTTGGCTGCTAGCATTATTGATATTTTCAGAATGATGAGCACTAAAAAGGTGTTGCCTTGCACATTTTTAATAAATCATGTCCTTCTAGGATTCCATATATGTTTTCTGATGATAGCGAAAATATCATCCATAAATCATAAACTCACTGTATGCCCAATAGTCATCAACAGGTCTTATACAGAGAAAACAAATACTTTTATTCAAGCAGTGTAGTTTTACTTGCAACAAGTCTTGTTGATGATTGTCTTGTGGCTGACAGAAAATAAAGCATAATAAAATCAGGTAGATGGAAGGTGTTCTCAAATCTCATCTAAACTATCACTAGCACAAATGCCAGAATGCTGTTCCAAGGTTATTGCCCTCTGAAGGGAGCATTTTCCAAATAATATCATAGTTATATTCATAACGCACTATGGTAATTTAGGATAATATAGGTTCAGACTCTTGTAGACTATGCAACTCTTTTCATTATGCTATTTTTCTTCCTAACTTTCAGAAATATGGGAATACAGATTACTTTCCCAGAAACAGACACAGCATCTATATAATGAGAATAAGCCTGGATATAATGAAAATGTCACTGTTGGCCACATGCTGATTTGTTACTTATTGTGACTATCACATGTTTTATGGTTTATGGTGACTGGCAGAGCATTTGTGAGATATTTGCTCTTGAAATATGTATCATGAATTTTGTAGGTGTTACATTATATCAATGGAATAAGAGATTCCATGGACTGAAATAAAGAAAAAGCAAAATGTGTAATATTCCATATGATGCGTCTGTATGTCAAGGTGGTTTGCAGCCATGACCCTATCACTGAGATCAAAATAATCCAGATATTACAGTCAGTATTTTTTCTCAGGAGCCCAGGTTGGACTAAGGCAGTGGATGCTTCTAGATTAAGTATAAACGTGAACTTATTTGCTACAATTTTCTACAAATTGTAATCTTAATTAAGTCCTATTTGTATGATATTTATATAGAGATTTAGGAAGAAATTTGGTGCAGGGTTGGGGGAGAGCATCTACTTTCTGGAAATTACTACTCCTGTCATTGCTGGAAAACGATATTCCCATCCATATCCTATCAGAACTTCTGTTGCCGTGGTTTTTGGTGTTGCTGTGTGGTGAAGGCTTTTATTTGAAAATTGTGTATGCATGTATACATGCAGCACATGTTTTCATAATAAATTATTGAGAAAAACAGAAGTCAGAAACTGAAACTGAGCAATTGGAGTTGGTGGATGCATAGCATGTCAGTAATGGTTAATTGTAGTACAATAAAGGCAGGAGAATATCTCAGATAATGCAGAAGAATGCTGTTTGATGCAATTATTTTACAGATCAGCCTTCTTTATGGTGCAAATTCCTATCAGCTCACATGCTAGCCTTCCCTCCCTTCTCTGCCTGGATAACCAAAATGTTACTTTGATGAAGCAAAGTGGAAAATACTAGGTTTAGGCTTACATCTGAGAATTTAGTAACTGATTCACACAAGCAGAACTGAAGCACCCAGTTTTGTATAAACATCCCATAAATTAGATCCAGTATCTATATTGAGAAAGGGACAGTGGACCATACAAACAAAAACACAAGACCCAGGCTTGGGGTAAGCTGGAATGGAGAAAGAAAAGGTGATACAGATCTAATTTCAAGCAGACCTCCCTAGAAATTCCTGAGTGTTGGGAAGTGGCCTTAATGCCATTAACTGAAGTAAAAGTTAGGGTCAGATAATGGAGCAAAGTTTCCTCTGCAATAAATTGGAGTAAAATAAAAACAGCTGTGCTGAAGCCATCCAACTTTGTTCATTATATCCTGTCTGAGACTAATGGGTCTGAGCAGCTAATTGTGTCTATTGCTGGAAAAATGTATCGAAGATATAATAGTTCTGTTTAGTGAAGGAAATGGCTAGTATACAAATCCGCAGAAGAGGCTTCAGTTTGGTTTATGTGGCAATCTAAACTTGGTTATTGTGCATGCATTTAGACCACAAGCACAGTATGGACAGTATATGAGCCAGCTGGGTAATCTTGGGCCAGTCACTCTTTCAGCCCAACTCATCTGAAAGGGTTATTGTAAGGAAAATAGGAGGAAGGAGTTTAGATATATTTGCTATCCTAAGTTCTTCATAAAAATAATAAAGGTGGGATATAAATAAAATAAATAAATAAAATGATACTGTGATATATGTTGAGATGGGAGGTAAAAAGCCTCATTTGTTCAGGATGCAACTTGTTTTCTTGCCTTAATGTGGCATTCAGAGTGGAGGCAGAGTCCTTTCAATCAAGCTTAGTGAAAATTGTCTGAATTGCACAGAATTGATTTGATCTTTGTGACAATACTTCCCAAGAGGCATAGGAATCCATTTGCTGCAAATGAAAAGGCGTTCCACCAGCAAGAGCAAAACTGCACTGTCACATCTGTGACAAGTGGGCAAAACAATTTAGATTGAGTTTCAGAGTGTAATTAGTGAGATCAAAGTCTATCTGGTCCAGTCTCCTGACCAAAGATAAAATTGTCAACATTACATATCATGTTAAGCCAATTAGGCCAGAGGGTGCCAAAAGCATAAAAATGATGAACCAGAAAAGAAGGTTGCAGATCATAAGGAAATCACTCTTCAGTGAGGGAGGACTTGATCTCATTCTCTGCCACAAGTGGGGCATGAAGTGTGCTATCACACTCCTCCTCACTCATCTCTTCCCAAGTCTAAACATCTTCAGCTCCTTTAAATTTGCCTTTATAGGACTTATTGCTACTCCCTTGATTCCTTGTTCCGTTCTCTTGTTCCGTTCTCTGTACCTGTTCCAGTTTATCTACGTCCTTCTTAAAGTATATGTGTGTGTATATGCCTTTAAATTTGTGTAGACTCACAGCAACTGTCTGAGCACATCGCTGCAGTTTTCTCCACAAGATTTGCAGAAGTGGTTTTCCATTATCTTCTTCCTGGGATGAGAGGGAATAATTGGCCCAAAGTCATCCAGTTTGTTTTTTACCTAAGGAGGAACTAGAACTCAGAGTTTCCCAGTATCTAACCTGATCCCTTTTACCACTACAGCAAACTGCCTCTCTTTGTTGTACAGTCCCCATAAATTGACAAAATACTCAATATGGTTTCTGAACAAAGTAGAATAATGTGGAATTACAGGTAGTCCTCAATTTACAGCAGTTCATTTAGTGACCATTCAAATTTACAAAGGCACTGAAAAAAGTGACTTATGACCATTTTTAAAGCTTATGACCTTTGCAGCATCTCCATAATCCTGTGATCAAAATTCAGATGCTTGGCAATTGGGTGATACTTATGACCGTTGCTGTATCCCAAGGTGACGTATCACCTTTTGACAAGCAAAATCAATGGGGAAGCCAGATTCACTTAACAACCATGTTACTAACTTATCAACTGCAGTGATTTACTTAACAACTTTGGAAGAAAGGTCGTAAAGTGGGGCAAAACTCATTTAACAAATATCTCACTTAAGAACAGAAATTTTGGGCTCAACTGTAGTTGTAAGTTGAGGACTGCCTGTACTTTTTCTCATGATTTGGAAACTGTACTTTTGTTAATGTAGAGTTTTTTTGGTAGCCAATCATATCACTAGCTCATAGTAAGTTTGCAATTGGTTACTATGCCAAAGATCTTTTTTCAAATAGAATTACCAAACAGCTTTCCCATTTTGGTACCTCCCTTATACAGATATAATTATGTTTCTTTCAGCTTATTTTTCTGAACTACCAAGCTTGTTTTGAATTTTATCTCTATTAGCTATCTAATTTTGTTGTGGCTGAAAATTTGATAACATACTTTCTATCTCTTCATACACATCATTAATGAAAATACGGAAGGAGGAGAGGGTTAAGAACTAAATCTTGTGATATCTCATCATCTCGCTTGAATTAGATGAGGGACCACTGATGAGCACAGTGTGAAAAGTATAGCTTGGAACCCTGACACACAATTTGAGAATGATTGATTGTCAATCCACTTTATTGTCATGCTATCCATATCACTTTTAATTGACTAATTATTTAGTAGGTTATCAATAATCTGCTCAATTCTTTGCTGAAATCTAGATATCTTATGCCTACAGTATTTCTGCAATCTACTTAGTCATAAAATTAATCTTGCAAGAATTATTCTTTACAAATCCATGCTGATTTCTGGTAATTACCTCATTGTTTTCAAAGTAGTGTTTATCATCTGTTCTAGAATTTCTCCAAGTATAAGTGTTAGACTGACCAGTCTATAATTCCCTAGATCCTTCTTTTTATCTCTTGGGGGACAGAGAAACAACATTTGCTCTCCGTTGTATGGCACTTTAGTTCTCCAACAGCAAACATATTTGTCAAAAGAGGCAGGCATATCTGATCTACTGTACTGGGAATGCCTTTTGTTTGTGCCCAATTGGCTTGGATGGGAATTCTACAAAAGCACTTATGTGAAAATGTTATAAGGCTTAGCAGTAGGTCTCTGAACCTACTGAGAATAGTAATATAATACCTAGTTTAGAAATACAGAACAATAGACTCAACGGCTAAAGTCTTCAGAGAAGATAAACAGAATAGATCAGGAAGGCACTGATCAAGAAACCAAGCATAAATTACCTTACCTCTCCTGGGTTGCTAGACAAGATGTCTGTGGAGCAGCTACTGTAATTAGGTCTATCTACATCCTGAATGACATCCTCCCACTCCCCACTCTGGTTTGTTCCCTATTAGGTTCTCCACCCATTACTATCTGACAATTAGATATTGGCGTGCCTGATAATGTGTTCCAGAGCTCTCATTTGTCAATGCTGCATATCTCCTTGTAGTTTAAGAGAATAGATCTGGTTGACAAACCAATGCTGGATTTATGCATAGTTATATTTAGAATGTGCTGCTGTGAGACAGCTAACATGCTACAGTATGATAGATGTTAAAATCTGGATCTATTATAAACTATAAGTGCTCACTCAAATTTTACTTGAAACCAAGTTTTTTGAGGTCAAGGTTTTTTTAATTAACGCAACATTAATTTAATCTATGCATCTCTTGCGCTTTCTGCTAAGTATTGCTAGATTGCAATATAACATGAGTGTTTTGAGAATATAGGAAAATCACTCTATTAGTAGTATGGTGGTTCTATGATTTTTATAAACCAAGAAATAAAATCTAATTAAAATATTTCAGGAAAAAGAACTGAAAGAACTAAAATAGCAACTTTGAAGCAGTCACACATTGGCTTACAGTGGTTTGGATCTGGTCTTAGCTATACTGAGAGAATCCCTTCTTGAAATCACAGCTATTGTATTGATTTGATTAGATCTTTTCTAAGCTGACTAAGTTTGACTAAGGCTGAACCTAACCCATTAATAATAAAATAAGTATTTCCCTGCCTTTCTTGTATTTATGGCTAGCATTAATGAAGACAATTAGAAGAGTGAACAAGATGTATAACAGATCTATCCCAAAACCCTGTTGGAAAATACAGGCATTAATACCTTGAGGGAACCCTTTCTGATATTATCAGACCAACCAATTGGAAGAAGGCAATAATGAGGACAACCAGATTCTGAGTTGCGAAGGGCTTTAAAAGTGACAACCAGGATTTTTAATTGTATCTACTAGCAAAGTGGTAACCAGTGCAGCTCTGAAAACATGGAAAAATGGAGATGCATCCATAACTATTCAAGCTGTTGCATTCTGGACCAGCTGTGATTTTTGAATTCTCTTCAAAACTAGCCCCATGTTGAATATATTGCAATACTCCAACCAAAAATGACCAAGCCATGAATGACTATGACCAGGTTCTCTCATTCCAAGAAAGATTCTATATGGAGTTGCGCTACTTCCATTTCCTCTTTAAGCAGGAACTGAAAATCAAAAGAAATTATGAACCATGTGGAATGGAGTAAACCTAAGCAAAACTACTTACTGAATTTCCATAGAACATTTTGGATGGTTTCCTAATCCATAGCCATTTCATTTTTCTAGGATTGATTTTTAAGCTTGTGTCTCCACATCCGGATAGCAACACAGATATTGTAGCATTACATCTGAATATACTATACATAACTTGTTAATTTACTAACATTGCATTTTACTGTTGACTCCTTCATATTAAATTAGATACAGACAATCCATCAATATATTCCACTTAAAGGTAAGCAGTTTCTAGCTTACCACGAGTCTCTGAGATCCAACTTTATAGCAGGATAACTCTGTTTTACCTGTCTTATATGTACCATCCAGTAAATTATTTATTGATATGAACAAAGAATAAGATGAAAGGAAAGAAAATATAAGTTGGAATCAGTTGGTAACGTTTAGGAAGTTGATTCCAAAGTACATAACAGAAACAATATCCTCCCAAGGTTATTTCAGCTATGATCCTGAGCCGACATTATTATTTTACTTGAGATTGTTGGTTCTGCTGAATCTAGCCTAGCTATTATCTCATGTATGTGATTTTTTTTTGTATTTACAGTACAGTGCATAACATTACTTGAGAAGATCAAAGTGATTAATTAGTAAGAACTGTTATGATGGCAATTAACATACCAATACAGGACTTCTAAACCTTTGGTTGGATCATATCGTCTTTATTGCTTGCAATGACCAAACATAGGACATCTAAGACAAATAGAGCATGAAAGAAATATCTTTCTCCTCTTATTCTACAACAAATGAATTGCTTTTGTTGTTTAGAATTCTTTTATACTTGGTCTATCAATTTATTTACAAATCTGATAAATGTTATCTGTCTGGAAAATTGACTGAGGGGACTTTCATACTTTGTAATCAATTATTATTATTACTATTTTATAGTCATTATTGTTTATATTTATCATAGTTCTAGACATTATGTAGAAATGTGTTCCTGGCTTGAGGTCTCTCTCTTCATTAAATTGAATAAAGTTATCTAGGACTTACAAATTGCTGCATAAAAGTACAGAAAGGTAAAGTTAGAGTGATTTAAGAAGAAGAATTAAGAAAAAATATCACCATGGAGAAACTTGTAGAAGAATGGGGTTTGGGGCACAGGGAAAAGCATGTGGCAAAAGCACAGAAAAAGAACAGACCAAAGAAGCAAAGGTCACCAATAGCAGCTGACCTTGTGCAGAACAGAGAGAATATTTGGGGGAAATGTAAATGTGGACAGCAGCGGTCCTTGGTCAAGGTGAGGGAGAGCACATAGTTGCAGCCCCTCTGACTGTTGCCTTCTCATTTTCATTCCAGTTACTACCTTGATGGCCGAGTGGCCAAGGTGACGGACTTCCTGAAAACACGCCTGTTAGACACACTCTCTGACCAGATCAGGAAAATCCAGAAAGTGAGTGAGTGTTGCAAAGGTGGGGAGCTTCAAGTACTTCAGGGTGCTGAGTCTGAATTTGACAAGTGCTCAGTACCAGACGGGTTTAGCAAAGGTTTCTACTTTGCTACTTTTAAGACCCTGTAACTTCCAGCAAACTCAAGTCCACTGTAACTTCCAGCCAATTTGACAAATAAGCTAGATAAAATAAGTATAAGAATATTTGAGAGAGATTCTGTGGACAGTGAAATATCCTAAACCCTGTCCTGATAGAGATATTGGGAAAGCTGTTATTGACTGAAATAGTTGAATTTCAGAACCCTTGTAAGAATAATACAAAAGTCATTATGCAGGACAGGAAGTGGGGGAGGAGATGCTAGTTTTGGAGAACAAAGGTGATGAATCTTTCCTTCGGCTAATGTATATCAAGGGAAAAGAGGCCACTTCTATGAACTCATTATGCCTAACTCTATTTCCTGTAAGGTACTTGACTAGAATGTTTGGTCCATTTTTACAGAATGTTTTGACTTACCAAGAAAGCTATAAAAACAGCTTTATTATGGATCATTTTTCTCTCTTAATAGAAAAAGAATTTTTAGCTGCACTGCCAGATAGATCCTAACAGGGGAAGATTTACTTCATTAGAGAGCCCAAAGATATCAGCTTACAGATGCCCTAATTAAATTTATTACCTCCTTTCCTCTTCTTTGTTTTATAATTTTGAGATGGTTCCTTCAAGTAAGTCTAGTGAATGACCAGACCTTCAGGCACTTGTCAGATTTCTATCCAGAGGTAGCAAGAGTTGTAAACTGACATCATTAGACCTTGTGTTCACTTACATGCGTTTGCTTTTTGGCACCATCACGTCCTTGACATGTCTGTGCTGTCAAGGTTTGTCTTATGTTACAGGGGCTTTCTCACAATGGGGTCTCTAGTGCCATGTACATACTTCTCTTTTATACTTCTCTTTTGCCACTGCAGTTTCAAAGTTAAGCCAGTTTCTGACAAGGTTCTGGGCTTGGTAACATACAGTATGCTCCAAGACATTGATTACTCTCATTAAAGGCACCAGTATAGTTAAAGTAAGAAATAGCTTTGTAACTGCTACTAATGCCTGTTTTTTATTGAAAACTAGCTTAGAGGCCTGCTCGGATTTATAAAGAAACTACCATAGGCTTATATGCTGTTCAAAAAAATAAAGGGAACATAAGCAGAAGACATCCGAGATCTGAATGAATGAAATAGCCTTATTAAATACTTTGTTCTTTACATACAGTAGTTTATACACTGCTCAAACAACTAAAGGGAACACAAAACTACTGTATGTAACGAACAAAGTATTTAATAAGGCTATTTCATTCATTCAGATCTTGGATGTCTTCTGCCTGTGTTCCCTTTATTTTTTTGAGCAGTGTATATTAATGTAGATTCTGAACATATCCTGAACAATCAGACATCCAATCTACATGTTAATCTAACAAGCATGTTGTTTCTCATTAGGCTGTATACACCTGCATATATACACAGTAAGCTCCCAGTTTTATGGTGCATAAACTGTATCATATATGAAAAGAAGTATTTACTAAAAGAACATATATATTTATAAATGTACATTTTAAATTACAAGTAGTCCTCGACTTTTGCTTAGTGACCATTCAAAGTTACAGTGCCACTGAGAAAAGTGACATGACCATTTTGCACACTTATGACCATTGCAAGATGGTCATATGATCAAAATTCAGATGACTCATATTTATGATGGTTGCAATGTCCTAAGGTCATGTGATCAACTTTTGTGACCTTCTGACAAGCATAGTCAATGGGGAAGCCAGATTAATTTAACAACCGTGTCACTAATTTAACAACTGCAATGATTCACTTAACAACTGTGTCAAGAAAGATCATAAAATGGGGCAAAATTCACTTAATAAATGTCTTGCTTAACAACAGAAATGTTGGGCTCAATTGTGATTGTAAGTTGAGGACTACCTGTATATAAAACTATTCAAAACTAGGCAGCGGCAAGCAGTAGTCAAACTACAAAGTGTATATATGTGGAAAAAAATACCATTGTGGAAATTTTAAAAATACTAACTTTTTAAAACCTGAGAATGAGGTCAATTTGTACTCATTTTAAAAACTGAGAATGAGATCTTATACAAAGTTCTGCTGTAAGTAGGAATAAGAAAAGTTAATGGTGTTGCCATATGGTATAGCAGCATACTGTGATATATGTCTTGGAAAGCAAAATTATAGTATAAGTAAAAAAAGAATCTTTCCTTACATAAGGGTCTGATCTGGATAATGGAAATATCTTACATTGTGTGAGTAATTTCTGTTTTCATAAAGAAATGAGGCTTTGAAGGCACGGGCAATTTCATTTTGCAAGAGTGAAGTATTTTATTGATTAGCCTTCTGTCTGCTACTTCATGTGAGACACCACAAAGAGACTGAAAGGAATCACTGAATGTACAACAAAACTAAGAGAGCCCACACTGAGGTAAACAAATAGGAAGTCAGCAAAGAATGATATGGTCCAGGAAAGCAAGATCAATGATCATAAAAGAAGAAAATAAAGTTTTGTTCAGATTAACATATTTTCCATCCACTTCTTATTTTTGTTTTCCTCATTATTTCAGTGCCCTACTAGTCACTGACAAATCAGTATTATTTATGCTAGCCTGTAATAATACATGTTTTAAAGTTACCCGCTATAGCCAATTGTTGAACAGCAGGGCTATTCCTATGTTCTTACCACCACTTTTGCTTTCCCCTTCTTTTTTTTTTTGGCAACAGGTGGTCAATGCATACATGCCTGGAAAAAGGATTTGGTTAGAGGGTATCGGGGCTGCTTCTGAAGGAGGCATCACTAATCTCTCAGATTCCTATGCTGCCAGCTTCCTGTAAGTTAATCTAAGGATGGAAGTAGTGATATGTTTATGAGAAAACCAGTAAGTGCACCAAATGGTTAATTGGCTTCTTTATTGTCTATAAAACACACTAATCCCAATTCTAAAATCAAGGATACTGTACTATCATTGGATTAATGGTTATTAGACTTTATCCATCCATTTTTCTGTTTCAATGGGAGACGATATGTATATGTTAGTAATAACATATAAATAAAAGAAGCTATTTCTTTAAGGTAGCAATAGCTAGGTATCTTAAAGTAGTAGCTTCTCCACCTTTATCTATGTATAAACTGGACATACTGTGAGCAGATTAGAAAGGGAACATTTAATTAGTTCTAATGCTTTATCATACCACCGCACAGTCTATGGACCTACAACCACCAGAGAATTTTTACAAGAATTATCTGTCTCAATCTATTGTGAGGGCTGTTCCAGAGATGGGAAGGGAAGAGCAAAGGGAAAGGAAGAGGAAGAGTAGGGAAAGTATTAGATAGGGAGCAAAAATGATATTAGCAAAGACTTTTTGGCTCTGGCCACACTTGTTAAACTTTACCTGTTACTGCCAAATTCCCTAGAGATTAAAATTTATTTATTTATTTATTTATTTATTTATTTATTTATTTATTTATTTATTTATTTATTTTATTATTTTTACAAATAACTCAAGGCAGTGAACATATCCACCACATCTTCCTCCTCCTATTTTCTCCACAACAATAACCCTGCTAGGTGAGTTGAGCTGAGAGAGAGCAACCGGCCTAAAATCACCCAACAGGCTTTCATGGCTAAGGTGGGATTTGAACATCCTGCTTTCTAGCCTGGTGCCTTAACCACTAGACCAAACTGGCTCTAAAGGAGTTTGAAAGAGCAAAAGATTTATCCAGAACAGATTTCCTTTTTGTTTCAGCTTTATTTTCTTACTTCCTATCATGAGGACACATTGCTTAAAAATGGTTAGTGAAACAACTAGTGCCAAAACAACAGAGACATGAATCCACAGGTAACGGTAGATAAGAAGTAATATCTGTTGAATTTTCAGATGCCAAAAAAGTGACTGATTAAGATAAGCTAACGAATGGAAAAGAATATTGTGCCTCTCGGAACTCTTTAACACATTATTATAGCAGATTTATTTATACTTTAAGCATAAGTGCATTAGTAGTGGGATTCAAATCCCGTTGCGCAACACTTATACGCATGCGCAGAGATGTCTGGGCGGGTGGGCAGAGCCTCCTGCCGCCACTGCCGCTACCGGTTCGCCCGATCTGCGGCTAACTGGTAGCAACCCATCACTGAAATGCAACCATTTTTAGGAGCACAGTGCTAATTAGTTTTAAGTTCCCCTTTCCCTCCCTTTCTCTTCCATTTGTCTTTGCTTTAAGTTAATGATTTTTACTTCGTTTTTATGTTATGAAAATACGCAAAATTCATATTTTAGCACAAGGCCCTTGGAAGCTCTGTTTGATCATTTTTAGTAGGTGTCATTAAAATCCATTTTTAAAATTAGTATTTTTCCTCATGATGTGTGGGAAAGTGATGTCATGGGTTATAGGTCATCCAGGTGGTGGTGGAAAGAACAATCCTGGCAACTTTTCAACTCATTTATAAAAATAAAACAAAGAAATCACATGGGAAATTTCAAGTTATTAAGTTCATAGAAGGTGCTCTATTGAGATCCACATGGTCAAACCAGGTTAATCAACAGAAATTAGTATAGGGGTCCACTTTCTTTAAAAAAGAGTTTGCTTATATACACTGACAGCAGGCGATCGACGTGTTTTGTCTGACTTAGCTAAAAATTGTGCTAGGCAACTTCCCTTCCACTGTTCTTTCTCTCCCCACTGGAGATAAGAATCTCTGCCCAAAAGAAAATGAGATAGCCTCAAGCTTTTCTTGGGGTAAAAAAAAAGCAGATGGAAATAAAGTAAGTTTAATGGTTGAAGACTGCTGATAAGATTCCTTTAACCATTTCTATTTGATTGTGTTTTAAATTATTCCATGAGAATTTACATCCTATTTACAGAAGTGTGAAAACAAATAACTTTATTTATTTATTTATTTGGTTATTTGTTTATTTATTTATTTATTCATTTGTTTATTTCAAGTACACATTTAACTTTTATTATGGTTTTAAAGAAAGTGATAGGCTATGGTATTAAAATTGAAGGAAAGTACTAAACTTGCAAAGGAGTTTAAGACAAGAGATGAAGAGTTGAAAAATGAGAAAAGTATTTTGACAGCAATGTTCTTTGAACTTTCTCTTAAGAGTATCAGTTACTACAACTAGTCTTCAATTTACGACCATAATTAGGATCAGAACTACCATCACTAAGCAAAGTGGTCATTAAATGAGTTGCACCCTATTTTACAACATTTTTGCCACAGACCTTAAGTAAATCCACTTCCCCCATTGATTTCGCTTGTCGGAAGCACCCTGGGATAGCAAACAATAATCACATGACCTCAGGATGTTGCAACCTTCATAAATATATGCCACTTGCCAAGCACCTGAATTTTAAACACATAATCACACGGACACTGTGATGGTTGTAAATGTAAGGACTCATTGTAAGTCACTTTTTTAACACCACAGTAACTTTGAACTGTTGTTAACAAATAGTCATAAGTCGAGGACTACCTGTATAAGAATCAGTCTGTTTTAGATATGGATTTAAAATTGACAGAATACAAGAGTTATATTGACAAAGAAATTATACAGGATTTATAAGTGAAACTAGCTGATATTTTAATTTCTAAAATGGACACACAAATAGTAAATCAGAAGAGTGACTTGGAGGTATATATTTCAACTAAAAGAGTGATTTGGATAGCTTTCTTATTTTGGACATTAAAAAGAGTTGTGTTATTAGGCTATTTCTAAGAAAAGATAAACAAAATAAAAAGAGAATGAAAAGAAGTCATGGTTCCAAAAGGTATTGTTCAAGGACCCAGAGAGTATTAATCCTGTCAGATCAAATCAGCTGAGAAGAGATTATAGGGGAAGGTGTCCTTCAATAACTAGGTCTGTGACATATAGTGTTTTATAGGTAATAACCAGAATCACACCCAGAAACAAACTGGGAATCAGTATGGCTCATGAACATACCTACACTGCTGTGTTCTGGATCAGTTTGATGCTTCTGGGTGGTCTTCAAGGACATGCAGTAGTAGTCAAGCCATGAAGTGATCAGGGTATAAATGACTGTCTGAAGGACCTCCCAATTTTAGATAGGGCACAATTGGTGCACCAGATAAAGTTGCACAGAGGCATTCCTAGCCACAGCAGCTACCTACTCATTGAGCAGATATTAAAATTGCTCATAACTTCAAATCCTCATCAAATGCACTGTTGTGGTGGTGGGCTCATCTCATCACACCTATCAGGACTCCACATTCATCTTGAATATCTCATTAAAATTAAGGGAGAATCATCTCTCTCTCTCTTTCTTGTCTAGTGGTGCCTTATACCTTAACAATAGAAATTCAATTTCCCCCAATATTTCACTCAGTTCTTATAATTATTCCATGGACAATTTATGGAAGTTCTCCTGGGATATTTTCACATAAATCTCCAACTTTTCCCTGTAGAATCTTGGTAATATCATATCCACCTCCTTGCAGGAGAGCTGCCAAGACACACTTTCAATCAACCGGCTGTCTTAAGTTCAAAAGAATTTAAGTTTTATTCATAATAGACAAATAATGGATTGTCTTGGGTGGGGGAGGGGGAAAGCAGACCTGCTAGAATGTTTTTATTCTCCCTCCCTCCCTCTCTCTCTCTCTGAACAAAAATAAATTTGTAGTTTTGGTTCATTCAAAATCCACATATGCTAATATTCAAAGTTATCTAATGTACAGAGACAATATAGGGCATTTTGTCCATTGCCCTTGTTGGAAGACAGTAAAAATAATTGTAGAAATATCTTTGACCCTTAGTGTTGAAGTTTTTTTCCATCATAAATTGCTGAAAACATGCTGCATTGTGCACAATAGCAATTTATATCATCTGACTATGCTGGGTTTCAACTTTCAAGTCCAAAAAGTTCCCATAATTTAACTTTGAAATATGTCATTTTTGGAAAAGATCTTGAGTACCTCTTAATTAGAGGCTTCTATGATGACTGCTAACGCTATTTCTCAGTGAAGTAGCAGAATAATTAATTCATGAACATACCTTACTTGGATGGCAAGTTAATACCTTTCAAAAGAAGAGAATGCACCAGGGACATCTTCCCCCAAACTAGTGGCCTCCAAATGTTTTAGAATATAATTCCAGTCATCTTAAATCACTGACCGCTATGGTGAATTGTGAGGTATCAGTTAGACAAGACAGCTTTGATATATGGAACTAAGGCACAACCTAGATTGAGGAAATCTATCCTGCTATTCTTGGTTAAACGTTAATCAATTGTCTTCTAAATTGCTAGGTGGCTAAACTCTCTTGGGATGCTAGCGAGCCAGGGCATCGATGTGGTAATGAGACATTCATTCTTTGATCATGGGCACAACCATCTTGTGGACCAGAACTTTAACCCATTGCCGGTAGGTGAATGATACAGTACTGTATCTTCTGAATTTGCATTAACATCCCTCTGTTCTTACTGATCCTCTGTCCTACATATTATACTGTATACTCTATATGTGTAATGTAACACAGGGCCTTTCTTATATTTTACATTCTGGTATATATACAACCAAACACTGTTTCTCCATCATTGCTTATTTTGTAAGAGTTACTTCAAGGCAGCATTTTTCACCTATTAGTAGAGGTACATAGCATGGTAGCAACCTTATTCACATGCTGTATCTTCATCAACTTCTTTCTGTCATTTCCAGCCAGAATTCTCTCTTCTTTTCGCTCTTACTAGGCACATAGCTCAACAGTAATTCCATTCATTTCTCACCTCACTTTTCTGCTTGTTTCTTTCTTGTTTGCTCTATATTATCTCTGCTGAATCAGTCTGAATTTCTCTCTTCTTTTCATGTTGCCAGTCAGTAAATCAGAGGATTTGTGCATGACTTTGTACCCTTGACCTGTTCCTCAAATTCTTGGCTTTCACAGACAAGCAGGCACTCATACCCAGATATACTGTGTGTATGTGTGTGTATATATATTTAAGAAAAGATTTTGCACACACAGCTGAAAATCTACTGTTTTTTGTGGCCTGTTTGAACTCGGCTTGAAAATACATTTTTCCAGATTGGTTTCTTTCAATGCTAATAGGAGACATTAGTTAATGTCAAGTACAACATGTTGAAAGCAGATGGGGCAGGGTTACCTCTGGAGCTATAACTTTGTCCACTATGAGAGCCTCAATGGGACCCTTGTGGGTTGCACAAGACCAAGAGAATCAGGGCATTTCTTATGGGAGGGGCATTTAAGCCATAGCAGGGAGGAAGGAGGGGCAGAAGGGGCGTTATAGGTCCTGAAAACATACAATAAAAACAACCAAACCCAAGGCAGCCAGGTCCTTAGGGAAAAAGCAAAGTGGCAGGAAAATGGAGCTGAACAAAGTTTAAATTTATAGGAATGAAGGTGAAAGAAGTTCACAATTTCACACAGCAGGGTGGTTCCTTGCAATTTAATGCAAACCCTCTTATTTGCAGTTCTTCAAAAGGACAGAAGTATTCACTGTTGAAAGTGTACAGGGTTCTAATAAGAAAAACATATGTTAATCTTTTAAAATAGCAGGTTTTCTTTTCTTCCATTTCAGTCTAGTAAATTTTACACCTTGTAAGTGAAACTTGGCAGCATCAAAAAGCTCTGAATCTCCATGGCCAGAAATGTACAGGCCTGGTAACATCTGAGACCCTCTACCCATAAGACCCTGGAATGCAGCATGTAGATTTGGGAAGCAGCAGAGCAGTCACAAAAGCAGAGTAATCCTGTAATGAAGAGGAAATTTTCTGCAATTAGATTCTAGGAAAGCATTGGTTGCTGAAATTTTCTCTTAGCTAAAAATTTGTTGATTCATGATTCTTATGCCTCACATCTCCAGAATAATGTTCACAAGATGTCAGCTTAGGTAACTTCCATATACTAGAAAAAGACAAAGATATGCATGGTCTGTAATTCTTATGACACAGAAAGATTTAAAAAATGATACTTCTTGAATGCTTCTTTTTTCATAAAGTTAAGGTTTAATTTAAAAAAAAAAACACTGCTTTATAAATAGACTGATAAGAGAAAAGGGGAGAGGGAGTAGGGATGGATGAAAATGTGGTGTAGATAATTATCAGGCTACTGAAAGACAGAGGCAGAGACACAGACTTATGTTACAATTCCAAGATCTGCTGTTAACTGAGTATCAACATGTAAATACTTTTCTCCAAAGCATTTATACCAAAAAGGCAAGTTTGGGGGCCTTAGAAAAATCAAAAATCCTATGCAGAGCTTCCTCTAGGATTTCAAACATTCTAAATTAAGCATACAGAGCTAAGAAAAAAGTACATATTATGCATGCATCTTCTTTTGAGTAAAACTCACTCAGTGCTAATATCTTTCTTCCTATCCAGAACAGGTGATTTTTTTGGGTGGAGAGGTAGAGTCTGTTGAACAGGCAAAAATGGCATCGCTCAGCCGCAGCAGACTCTGAAGCTGGGCTGAGATGCTGCCCATTTTTTTTCCCGTGGGAGCTATCAGGGAGATGAAAGTGGGTGTTTGAGGCTCTGCAAGACTGCTGGGATGTGAAATTGAATCCTCCCACTAACTCATTGACAAAGACTTGCTATCTTTCCTTTGTGCAAACCCTCCAATGCTGAGAGAAGCCATGCCATCAATCACTGCCTTGGCCTGGCTGCCCATCAGCTGGCGACAAGCTTTGGCTAGGTGCCTTGCAAGAGCTCAGTTGCTTTCCTTTCCATGCCATGGCTGATCTAGCCCTAACTCCAGAGATTCTCTGCTGAAGGAAAGACAATTGAGCTGTTGTGGCACCCATGAAAACAGTTTTGAGGTCTAGACTAATTCAGTTTGCCAAAGTGAATATCTTTCAACTTCTGGAATATTATCCATATCATATATATATTATATGATATCTAGCCCTAACTCCAGAGATTCTCTGCTGAAGGAAGCACATATATATTATATGATATTCCATATATTTTCATCTAGCTAGGTTCTTTATAATTTTTGGAGCATTTTGACAGATACTGAACTGCTGTTTACAAATAAAGTAAATGGCAGTTCAGTGTGTACTGCCATTTACTTTATTAGATAATAATTTTGGTCCTTACTATTACTTGAAGTAATGCTCAGTTGGAGCAAATTAAAAATTTATTCAAAATCCTAGGCAACTAAGATACAAACATTAAAACATGTAAGAAAACTTCCAAATGATAATAGCATATCTTATGAGATGCTTACAGATTTTTCAGGCTCAGTAGCTACTGGAGAGGATATTCTAAATGTGAAACTTCATGAAAAATATCTAAGAAAGAATTTCTTATCCCCAGATTTTTATAGTCTTTTCTGTAAAACTATGACAGCTCTAAGTTGTACTCTAAAATATTGTGGAATAGGGGCACCAAATTGTGTTTACACCTTAGCTAAGAATAAATACTCTGTCTGCTTTGCACATGAATCCTAAGGGTATATTGTTCTCATACTTGTGGTAAATGGCACTCGTATTGTTCTGCTGCATCTCATTTGACAAACGCGTGTACAATTGTCACTGGAAGGAACAGAACATGAAGTGACGAGAGCAGAACCACAAGTGGCATTTTATGTCCTGGGTTTTACAACAATAACTCTCAGAGAACTGGGAGTAGAAGGTCTATTATACTGCAATTATTTGTCAGGTTACAAGCAGTATTTCTTCACCATGTGGTTAGGGCATAGTTTTAGAGCTCAGATCTGGTTGCAGAGGTCTACGGGGCCCCTGGGAATGTATCCTGTAAGTCTCTGCTAGGAGACAGCCGTGTCTACTTATTAGGATTGTATAAAAGGTCATCTAATTTATGTTTTTTCCAATACCTCCTTTTCTAAACACACCTATATAAGAAACCCCTGGGGTCATGTCACAAACTTTCCATAGAAAAGGAAACTTAAATTCTATAGTAATAGGTTCAGTATTGGATGGAGCTCAAACATTTTTGACAGTTATTCTGAAAGGAAGAATTTGTGCAAGTACTGTTTCTCAACACAAGAAAAACACATATTCCACATTCTCCCATATTGTGTAGTTATTAAAAGTAGAAAAAATCTATCTTATATTTTCTGAACATTTTGTTGTTGTTGTTAGTTGCAAAGTCGTGTCCGACCCATCGTGACCTCATGGACAACATTCCTCCAGGCTTTCCTGTCCTCTACCATCCTCTGGAGTCCATTTCTGAACATAGAGAAGCATAATTCTTTATGCGTAGCGTTACTCTTGGACTGCAGCAAACTAGAATATGCTTCATAATCCTTTATACTGCCTCTCTGCCCTAGGAATAATCAATCTGGCTTTTTTTGACAGGACTACTGGCTCTCACTGCTATATAAGCGACTTGTCGGACCCAGAGTACTTGCTGTTCATGTTGCTGGACTGCAGAGAAAACCTCGCCCTGGCAGGGTGATTCGTGATAAGTTACGGATCTATGCTCACTGCACCAGTTACTACAAGTGAGTTATCTCAGAGCAGGTGCAACTACTGAAGTAAAAAATGGAGATTGGGCACTGAAGACCAGCAGACCCGAATGGGGTTAATCAGTATGAGCTACACCCACAAAAAGAAAATGTTATCTAATTCAGCTGAATCTCTATGTTCCAGACTCCCAGAGCTATGTGTCATTATACCTGCTAAAGAACGAGTTTCATTATTTGAACAGTAGTGCACTAGGGGGAAAACCCTATATAAATACATGCATAAGTTTTTGCCTCCTCTTTTTTCCCCCTCTCTGTGTACAACTTGGCAACGTGGCTTTCTCAGATCGTGGAGAGGGGAGGAACAACGTTGGTGTTGATAGGGAAGCTCACCTATCTCTGGGACTGTGGTGGGAGCCTTTGTGGATGACATCAAGGGAATACAGTTCCCCAAAGGCCCCATGGTTTAGTTTCAGTTCCTTCTCTCCCCCCACTTCCCATTTGGGGCACCTAGCCTAGCTAGAGTTTCTACGATAAGCCTTCAAAGCATCCTAGGAGTGTAGGACCTGGGACTTTCCTAAAGACACAGGTCCCTATTGTTGCTACTTCACATCACCCAGATGCTTTCAGCAAGGCTCCCCCTCCCCCTCCTAGAGGGAACTTTGGCCAACGACTGACAGGTAACTGGCAACAGAAACAGGGAGAGATGGGAAAGGGAGGGTAGGCACAGGCCAGCAGACCCTTGGCTCCTTTCCATGCCCAGGGCAAATACTGTAAATGGGGGCCACCTGTGCAGAAGCTGAAGCTAACTCTCTTCTCTTTGGAGATATTCATGCCTAAGCTTAGTTCAAAAGCAGGAGTATTGAAAACCTTATAAATGCTGCCTAAGGAAACAATATGTATAAAGCTTCAGATGCCTTGCATTATCCCATCTGTATAAACATCCTATAATAAAAGAGTGCTGTTAACCACACCATCATCATCATCACCCTTCAGGCAAGAGATGTAGACTGAAAGATTACCAAAGGCCACTAAAACAATTCATCTGGTTAGCTGAGATTTCAACCAGGGACTCCCAACCAGGGACTCTAACGATTCTATTAGCTTTCATATATTCCCCCCAAATGACTTTTCTTTAGCATACAGTATAGCTTTCTTCTGACCTATAAAATATTGCTTTTTAGGTAGGTAGCATTTCTACATGTAGTGTACATGATGGCAAATTACAGCTAAATAGAATGATTTTACTTAAACTTGTAAGGGCCTAATCATCCTATTGCTGCCTGCAACAAATATTAAAAACCTGAAGCCCACTCTAATCATCCATTCATCACAGATGCAGTAACTTCATTTGTCTCACATGCCAGTTTCCTATTCAGTTTCATAGCCACTTGTAATTAAACAATGGTAGAGTTGGAAGCCTATTCATTTAACTAGACAAGAGAACTGCTACATTTACTGCACTAATGGGTACTAACTTTTTCCAAGAGAAAATATTGATGCTTCAATTGATGCACACCAGGCTAGATCTTGAAGCAAAACTGTTATCTTGTCCTACCTTACTGGAAACATAGGACCTTAGCTGCTCTGAAAACACATGTCCTTCATTAAGACCAAGGAATTATTGCAGAAAATGTTGGGAGCATCCTTTAGCTAAATCTTTCTTTGCAAAGTGACAAATTGGACAATTGATATGACAGAAGAACATCCCTGATTGAATTGGAGGAAATGCTTCTTGCTGTTAGGCAGTTGAGCTAAATAAGACCCAAAATGGGGTTCCTATCACTAGAATTTCATGTTGGGATTGGAAAATAATAGTGAAAATCTTTAATTCTAGAGCTAACACATTATTACTAAAAATTATTCAAATGGTTCACCTTTAAGCTCTTATCTTTGTCACAGCCATAATTATGTCCGTGGTTCTATCACAATTTACATTATCAACTTGCATCGGTCACGAAAGAAAATCAAGTTGGTGGGGACCCTTCGGGACAAACTTGTCCATCAGTATGTGCTGCAACCCTATGGTCAGGAAGGACTTCAGTCAAGGTGAGTGCTATTGTCCAGTTCAAGGCCACTATCATGAGAACCCATTAAAGGAACATTTTAGTGACCAAGCATTGATATTAAGCACTGTACTCCATTTATTCATCTGTACATATGGTATCCTACCTGCCATTTAATTTCCATTTTTTTGTTATCCCAAAAGCTTATGTTATAATAAATCATGTGAATAACGTTCACTTTTAAGAAATCATGTATTTTTGTGTGTTGTAAACAAAAAAGACTACCTTTTTGGAACTTGTCACTGTGTCTAATTCCATCCAGCTTTAAAATACTGATGGAGAATCCAGCAATGTTGTTTTCCCAAAAATTCCACCCACGCTTGATCAGAGGTTTCCAGGCCCCATAAAGAAAACTATCCAGATATACCTTCTTGCTTTATTCTCCATTTATTTATGGTGCTCCACACAAAATCAGATAAAAAGAAGTACAGTATTCTACCAAACCTAAGAAGGCTTATATGGTCTAACATTCCATTTTCCTAATGGCCAGTGAAATGCCTGTGGAAAACCCACAAATGGAATGCAAGCACAGTAGGCCTCTCTCTCTCAGCAAGTAGTATCGAGTCACGTACTGTCTTGGTTTTGGAATTATATTCCAGCATCATGAGTCATAACTAGGTATCAGTTAATGGTATGCTATGAATTTATCCAATCTGCTTTTAAAGTCTTCCAGACTGTTGTTCATCACTGCACCTTGTCATCATGCATGCCCTAGATCAGAGTTCCCCAAACTTTCCAGCTTTGCAGACGGGTGGAGGGAAGAGGGGATGGTTCCGTGCAAGTGGTGTGTTGCTCACGCAAGTGGGAATGCATGCGCTCACCTGCCAATTCCACAGCCTGGTTCCAAACAGCTCAAGGCCCAGTAGTGGGCCATGGCTGAGGTGGCACAGTGGTTAGAGTGCTGTCCTGCAGCTACTTCAGCTGACTGCTAGTTCAGCAGATCAGCAGATCAAATCTCACTGGCTCAAGGTTGACTCAGCCTTCCATCCTTCCGAGGTGGGTAAAATGAGGACCCAGATTGTTGGGGGCAATATGCTATTTAGTATACTGTCAATTGTTGTAAGCTGCCCAGAGTCCTCGGAGAGTGGGCGGCATAAAAATATGATTAATAAAATAAATAAATAAATAAATAAATAAATAAATAAATAAATAATAAATAAATAAATAATGGCCCGGGGTTGAAAATCCCTGCCCTAGATTAACCATACATTTGTTAAAGGTTTTTATTTGTCCTGAATTCTACACTCTCAGTCCTTCTCACCATCCATGTGATTCTAGTATTGGTATAATTTATGGAGTCACTGTCCTAGCCTCGTCCTTCATAGGATCTTTAGGTTCCATAGCAGAGATATAAAGATAAAGCTAGTGGCCATCTATCTTGAAGTCTTCATAGAAGAACACCTATGCTATCTCTAACTTCTACCTTTCCCCCATTATCTGGAAAGGGGCAGCTTTCTCCTCTACATTTTGACTGAAAAAATGCATTTGGTCTGTGCAGGTCTGTGCAGCTTAATGGACAGCTCCTCACTATGTTGGATGATGGAACCCTGCCAAATCTGAAGCCTCGTCCCCTTCGTCCTGGACGAACTCTTGTTATTCCACCGCTTACTATGAGCTTCTACGTGGTGAAAAATGTTAATGCCCTGGCATGCCGGTATCGGTAGCTCTACCAAACCCCACTGCTAAGGACAGACCTTGAGACCCTCTTGGGGCACTTCTTGGCAGGGGTGTGCACAGACCACCAGGAAAAGAGGACAGAAGTGCCTCCAGGAAAATACTGCCTATCCACAGATGTTTCACATGTTCTTATGGTCCTAGCATCCCCACCTGCTATGGTGATTTCCAAATAAGCAGTATTTTAAACCCTTTGCAATTTTCTTATAGATTATCATAGAGTGGGGACTTTGTGCCACCTTGTGGGCAACAAAGAAGCTGTAATATGAAGAACTGTTCCTGGTTTTCTGTGCTCAGCAAGTGGAAAGTCAAGATGCATCCATCACACCAGAGGCTACCAAAAAAGTATCAGCAGGAAGAGGCTTAGAATCTAATATTTCAGTTTTATCCCTGTGGATGGTGTGCCCCCTACTGGCAAGTGGCAACAGAACAAGCAATGTAGCAAGGAAAACGCAGCTAGAAGAGCCAGAATTGTATCTTGAAGAATTAAGCACCCAGTTATGCTGCAGAAAACAATCCAGACATGAAATTCTGGAGTGTCTCTAACTGCTTGAGCCTATGGCATTGTTGGATGGAAAAGAAGAGGATTGGTCTTGGCCACTGTAAATAATGCTGCCTCTTGGGAGCATTTGTTGTAAATGTTAACTATTAAATTATATTTTCTGAAAAGCTGAAAAAAAAATACTTGTAAGAACTGAGAAATTGAGGCTTTAAAAAAGTTTTCTACTTCTTGGAGCACCAATCAATTGTATCAGGTGGTGCATGAAAGAATGACAGAAAGGCTTGTAAATATTTAAAAACATCTATTATATTTCTGTTTCAATATTCTGAAGCCTCTGCATTGTACTAAGTCTGGGCTGCAAAACTCTGTATGGCAGCAAAGAGCAATAATTTTCTGTGTCTCTTTGCTTTCATGTAGTGGTCATTCAGATTTTTACAAACCAGATCCAGTAGCTCTATCCCTGCACTTTCTAAAAGTGGTGTTTATATTAAGTTAGATGTCACAACTAATTATGAGCAACCAACATTTGTTATGTTATTAATAACCCTGCACACTTTTCCAGTCTGAGGATCCATCCTATTGTTTACACTCCCATGCACAATAGCCTTTTAGATACAGTCCACCCCACATTATTTATCTCTATTCATTTCACCTAACTCAAATGTTACTAAAAGAAGCAAAGATCTATACAGTGTTCTTCAAGATTAAATTAAGTTAGCCTGTGGGGGGGGGGAGATAATTCAGATATAAAGTCTTGGGATTTTTTGGTTGACATTTAATGTAAATGATAACGAGATTTAAAATAAAAAATGAAGCTTCCACGATGTTAATATATACTTCTTGTCAAAAGAAAAAGAAGAAGAGAGAGGAACTAGAAAAAATGCAAAAGAAAGAACTTTTCACAAATGCCATCTAATAATAGTACTTGACTCTTTTATACTTTTGTTATCAGTGTTTAAAGTATAAGTCTCACCAAATAACTTGCCTAATTATTTAATGGCCTCTCAAGTTCAAAAATAGTTTTGACATAAATTTAAAGGTTTTATTACAGAATGAAAATTTCTAAACTGGTTTTATTGACCCTTTTAGCTCATAATTATTTTGCTATGTACATGATTGATTTAATTTCCCCTAGGACAACATCCAATTACAGGAAAAAAGTGTCAATGTTGTCTTTAGGCATGCAAGGCCAGGAATAAAGCAAACTAAATCCGAATCATATTATTTATGTAATGCTTTCGAGTTTTCAATTACTTTAGGTATGCTATAATTAATACTATTGTTACTATTATTATTAATCATTACAATAATTGCGGAAGATAGATCAGCATTTTTAGTTCTATATTGCAAAAGAAGTTAAGAAGCAGTAACCTGCCTTGAAAAAACCTGAGTAAATATACAGCAAAGGCAAGAACATGATGGCGAACCTATGGCATCTCTCCAGGCACACGAGCCGTCACCCGTTGCTCTTCTGGGTTCTGGCGTACTGGCCAGCTGGTCTTCACATGCACGGGAGCGCCAGAAACTGGAAGAGCAGCCACCCGGTGCACATGCGCATGCCGGGAAGATAATCTTTCGGTTTCCGGCATGTGCATGCACCCCAGTTGCCTGGTCTTCCAGTTTCTGGCACGCATGCACACATAAAGACCAGCTGGTTGGTGCGCATGCATGTCCAAGAAACCGGAAGATCATCTTTCCGATGTGCATGCAGCTGCTCTTCCGGTTTACGGAGCTCCCGTGTGCGTGAAGACCAGTTGGCCATTGGCTGGAACCCAGGAGAGCAACAGGTGATGGCTTGCGTGCCCAAAGATGCGGAGAGGGGATCCCGGCAGTCACTTCCTAGGGGAGCAGAGCTGTCGGCTAGGACAAGTGGGGCTTCACTCCCTCCCCACCCGAGGAGGCTTCTTGTGCGGCCCCAGCCCTCCAGCCCACGGCACCGATGCGCATCCATGGCCGGTTCAGGTGCCCAGGAGAGCAGCAGCAGTGGCAGGAGGGACCGGCCGGCCCCTGCAGCCACTCCCCTTCCAGCGAGCCATGCATTTGGCGGCATTTCCATGTGTGAGGAACTGCACTCTCCTTCAGCCCTCCTGAGGCAGCTCGCCTCCCCGATGGCAGCTCCTCCTCCAGCATGTCCTCCTCCAGCTGGTCTTTGCACACGCATGCACACCAGAAACTGGAGGACCAGGTGGCCATCGTGCATCCGTGTGTTGGAAACTTGAAGATCGCAGCTGCTCTGTTAAGTGTTAACTAAAGTGATATTAGGTTGGTCAGTGATATGAAGTAAAAGCATCAGAATTCTTGTACATACAGTAATGCAACAGCTAGCATATATGAGTAGCGCAGTTGCAGTAGAATTTGAGCATATTTTCTTGATTTTTCTTCAGCAGAACGGGAATCAACTTCTATTTTAATAAGTCAATTGAAACCCATAGACTCAACTTCTTGTTCTCCAGGTTAACAAGTGAATTTCCATTACTAGACATCAGTATTTTAAGCCTCAGCTGCAAAACTCTTATTTTAATGCTTATACTTGTCTTATATTTGTTCCCTGGGCAAATATGACAATCTCCTGAATAATTATTTTTCAATCTCTTTATGAAAATTCCAGAGTTGGAATTGGTTAACCTCATAATATGCACATTCTTTGACAGTACACAATATCCCTACTCTAATTAAACTGTACAAAAAGAGTTTGTGGAGAATTTAGGGGTGTTTTTTTAAAAAAATAACAACAAAATAGAATTGTTGAACAGCAAAATGAAATAGCACTGTGTTGTGGCCTGCTCCTGATCACATAAAGTCATAGCAATTTGGGAATGTTGGGCCAATATTTTCTATGGGATTCCTCCTGTGGCTCAGGTCTTTTTCTGCACTGGCAGTAGTGCATCAAGGTAATTCTATCACTTGCTGCTCCATTTCTTAAGAGATTGTTTTTCTACAGGCATTTCCAGGTTTCTGCTCTGCCATCAGCAGCATCTGCTTGTTAATCCACAGCCATCTGAAGATAAACAGGACTACTTTCTCCATGTAGGTTTTGTATCCAAAGTAGTGCCTCCTTGCTAATCATATCACTTTTTGATATTCAATTATTGTAAAAAATCCACTTTGTTTATCTCAATTTAAGATTGAATATGGTATAATTGGATTGAGCAGTCTAAATGTTTAGGTGTGAGTTAAATATCACAACTGTGTCCTTACATTGTTCAATGACAGAAACTTAACATGGAAAAACCCTTGTTTCTTTCCCCAAAGACAAGTGTTCTTACCACTTCATTTCAGATCACTTATTGTTGAAATGCATTTTATTTTGACTAAATTTTGACTAAAATGAAGAATGAGTATAAACACTGTACTAATTCATAATGTGGTTTGTTGGTTCTTGGTTTAACATATTATATGAACTTAGCCATTTTGCTGTATATAGTGAATCATAGTTAAACAAACCATGGTGTGTGAACCAATCTAGAAGAGTATAAAAAGTTTAGAAGTATCCAAGTAAAAGATGAAAAGTCTTATTTTGATTATTTGACCATCATGCATGGGCCCCAATTCAGTATGTATGAATACAAATATTTTCACTATTTTCCAGATTGTAATTGGGAGGATGCATTATCTTCCGGGTCAGAGGCTTCCATGATCTTGTACCAGAAAGCACAACTGCTTACAGTCCTAGCAATCCTAAGATTTTCCTAAGAAATCCTAGAAATGTGTATGTTATCCAGAATTGCTAGATGACATGGCCTAAAATGTAATTAAATACATTTCATATCTGAGGAATATGTCATGTGTGTCGTCACAAAGTAGTGGTATGGAGATATATGCCATTCCCCAAATGTGATGAGCATGGTCACATCCTTATGTCTGCAAAATGATGCTGGTAATATATATGTTGGCAGTGAGGAGACAGAATCACATACACACAATTCCTTGAACTACATTTCTTTCAAGAACATCTCTCGGATTTTCATAGTCTAAGTGCTCATAATACAAAATCTATTTTTCCCATAAATAATCCACTCACCCACACAATAACTGAACCCCATTCAGGTTCCACTCATTCACTGCTCATTTCTTTCTCAGTTTTGTCCCTCTGCACTGCTTCCTCTTCCCACTGATAGAATAACACTTATATCTTCTTCTCCCTTTAACAAGAACAATGAGGTTGACCACTTTTCTATGTGATTGGAGAGTTATATCACAACAAAAATATGGTTTTCAGCTGCCACAATACTTATTTCATAAGGATATTTTGGGGTCCCAAAGATGCTTTTTCGAGAGGCAACTGGACTTTGTTTTTTCTTTGAAGACGTTTCGCTTCTCATCCAAGAAGCTTCTTCAGCTCTGACTAGATGGTGGGAAATAGAAGGATTTATACTCAGTATAAACCAGAAAGTCCAGTTGCCTCCTGAAAAAGCACCTTTGGGATAACCATGACCTGGATGACTGAGAATCTCCAAGATGATATTTTGGGGTCTTTTGAAACCTGGAGATATTCTCCAGTGTAAAAATAGCAGGTGGCTATAGGCCGACTCTTCAGGCTGAAGCACTCCTAGCCACTGTGAAAAAGAAAAGATGGTCTGTAGGAGCAGTGGGAGTTATCTCTTGACATAGCAGTGCCCATGGGCATCATTTATATGTTCCTGTCTCAAGGAAGAATATACGAATTATTGCAGTCAAGAAGTCCTATTGGAACAATAGTGAACTAGAAGTAACTAATACTTATATATAGACATTAGCTAAATACAGGATGGAGAACTTCTGCACTTCTAACTCTTGTTGATCATCAACTCCCATTATTTCTAATCTGTGATTGTGCTAGCTAGGCTGCTGAGAACTGAAATTTAATAGCCTCTGGATCAATGATTCCCCATCTTTAGTATACAGCAGCTCCAATCTGAGGGAGATAGGTAGATTATAACATGGGTATATGTCTTAATGTGGATGCATATTTAACTAGCAACAGAAAAAAATACAATATAATGATACAGTAATAATAAAAATAAAGAGAAAGCAGCAACAGTTTGAAAATAATGTAATAAACAAATAGCTCGAAAGTCGTGTTCATTTGCAAATGTTGACAAGTAGCATATACTGACACAGTATTAATTCAAGAGCAGGCATAGATTTCCTCTTTCTATGTTTAAAGTCTACATTTCTTATGTCTTGACAAATTCCAAATACCCTGGGAATATAGCCAAGAAGGAGAAAAGCATGCTTACACAGTGATTGATGTGTCTCAACAATTCTGTGACTTTTATCCCAAAATGTGACAACAGAAAGGTATATATTTATATAGATGATAATACTATATGCATTAACATTTTAGTTCCTGAACTGCAAATCCAACAACTAGGCAGTTGCAACAAAGCATATTCAACATTCTGAGTACTAACATGATCTTAACTTAATGTTAAGGTCCAAGGACACTAAATTCTTGTAGCTTTCATGTATGTATGTATGTATGTATGTATGTATGTATGTATGTATGTAGTCCTTAAACTTATAAACTTCAAATCTATATATCAAATCAATCTGTTTTTAACTCTAAAAAACTTTAAAACACCTTCCAAGAAACTTCATTTACACAATTGATTTATCAACTATTTGTTAACAGTTATTCCAGCATGCCATAATAATAGCAGCTTTATTTCATACTGATAATAATGCATATTTCAAGTTATACAAATAATTAGTCATGCAAAATAAAGTGCAATATACAATTAAAATTACATTATTTTAATTTATAATTTGCGGAAACTGAACTAAGGCCCTCTTCCCTTTTAAAAAATATTTTATTGAAAAATGTAAAAAACAAAACAAAACAGGAAAATAGTAAAAAAGAAATAGTGAAAAAAGAAAACTAAGAAAGAAAAATACAGAATAGAAAATGCAAAAAAAAAAAAGGAGAAAAAACATTTAAAGAAATGATTTCTGATCTTCATCCCAAGTACAAACTTAGTAATTCTTCACCTCTTGTAAGAATACATGGAAGTAAAATTTTTCATAGTTAAAAGGGGTAAAAATTATATCTGCAACGTAATGTTTTTGATAGATAGACACAGCCAGCCAGCCACAGGTAATTTGTGTGTATTGAAACTGATCCTGCATGAAACAGTATCATTATACCTACCAGAATTTTAATTAGGTAAAAAATCAGCTACGGTATCAAATCCAAAGAGAAGATGAAAATGTATATTCTAGACAATAACCAAAACT